CAATACCCCGCCCGACCTGCCTGTTGGTGTCTGTCCGTCCGCTTGCTTGGAAGCCCGCCGGCCCGTTTGAATGCTCTGCTCGCCCGGCCCAGCCGCAAGGGTTGGCCCGCCCCACCCGCCCGTTGGGGTGCGCCAAATACTCCTGCTCCCCTCACCCCTCCTCCTGCGGAAGCTTTTCCGTCCCCAGTCCTCCTCCCTTCCTGTTGTCCCCCCTCATTTTTCGCTTCCTCCTGCCTTCCCTGCTGTCTCCCTTTTTCCTTTGTCCCTCCTCCTCCTAGTTTAGCGGCCGCGCCAGCCACACGTGGCAGGCAAGAGGGGGTAAGATGAAGATGAATAGGGCGGCAATCGAGGGTTTGTGGGTATACGTGTTGCGTGACACGTGAGCAAGGGAGAGCTTCTGGGCCCCGCACGGGTCAAAGGGCCGTCAACTAATCAACTCGGAATGAATACCGAATCCGGGGATTGCGCCGAGATTTCCAGGGCTCCAAGTTGTGAGAAGAGGACGTCGCCGGGGGTCTGAGGAAGGGGGGGGAGGAGGAACACAGAAGGAGTAGGAGAGGGGGATGGGGAGGGTTGGGCGAGGGAAGCAGGCGCGGAGGATAGCGTGGAGCGGGAGGGCACTGTTCAAGTTGTTTTTTGTTTGAGGCTGGGAAGGGTGTCGGGGGGGGAAGGGGAGCGCAGGGGAAGGAGGGTTGAGGGGCGTGGGGGAGGAGGAGGAGGAAGAGGAGGAGGAGAAGGAGGAGGCGGAGGAGGAGGATGGAGTAGCGGGAGGGGGAGGAGGAGGAGGAGAGGAGGAGGAGGAGGAGGAGGAGGAGGAGAAGGAGGACGGAGTAGCAGCAGGAGGAGAGAGAGGAGGAGGAGCAGGAGGAGGAGGAGGGGAGGAGGACGTGGCGAGTGATGATGATGCCGATGATGATGATGATGATGATGATGATGATGATGATGATGATGATGATGATGATGATGATGATGATGATGATGATGATGATGATGATGATGATGATGATGCTCATGATTATGCTGCTGATGGTGATGATGACAATGATGACAATGATGATGACGATGATGATGATGATGATGATTATGATGATGATGCTGCTGATGCTGAGGATGATGATGATGATGATTCTGCTGCTGATGATGTTCACGACGAAACTGACGATGGCGATGCTGATTCTGGTAATGGTTATACTGATGCTGACATTTATGATGATGTGGATCAGGATGATGAGATTGATGCTGCTGCTGATGATGATGATGATTATGATGATTATGATATGAGTGATGCTGCTGCTGATGCTTATGATGCTGCCGATCATGATGACCATGCTGCTGCTGGTGCTGATGATGATGCTGATGATGGTGATTGCTGATGATGATGCTGACGCTGATGAGGAGGAGGAGGAGGAGGAGGAGGAAGACGATGATGATGCTGCTGATGCTGATGCTGATGCTGATGCTGATGATGATGTTGATGATGATGACGATGATGATGACGATGATGACGATGATAATGATGAGGGTGATGATGATGATGTCGCTGATGATGATGCAGCTGCTGCTGCTGATGCCGATGATGATGCTAATGATGATGATGCTGATGATGATGATGATGATGATGATGATGATGATGATACTGACACTGATGCTGCTGCTCATGATGATGATGACGACGATGGTGATGACGACGATGATGATGCTGATGTTGATGATGATGCTGCTGCTGATGATGATTATGATGATGATGATGATGATGATGATGATGATGATGATGATGATGATGATGATGATGATGAGTATGATGATAATGGTACTGATGATGGTGCTTCTGCAGCTGCTGCTGGTGATGATTATGATGATCATGACAAAGATGGGGACTCATATGATGTTAACGAGCTCTCTGACGATGCTGATACTGATGATGATGCTGCTGCTGATGATGATGATGATGCTGATGATGATGATGCTGATGCTGGTGCTGATGCTGATGCTAATGCTGATGCTGATGCTGCTGCTGCTGATGATGATGATGCCGGTGATGATGACGATGCTGCTGCTGCTGATGATGATGACGATGATGATGACGATGATGATGATGATGATGATAGTGATGATGACGATGGTGAGGATGAATACGATGAAGGCCCAATTCCTTCGAGCACACGAGGAACATCATTGTTTAGTGATGTCTCTACTGGGCAATCCTGGACGCTCTAGCGCTCTAACCCCCCGCCCACCCTTCCCTCCCGTCCAGTCCCAGGAGAGGCAGTAGAGCAATCAGGGGGAGGGTTCAAGACACTTCTTCCAGACGAACGTGGTTGGCTCGCTCTCACCCGCTTTCTCAACGCATGAGTCGTACCCGAGTCTCAACATATTCAGCTGCCATCCCTAGGTGGGCAGCTACTGGGAAGCAGTTTAGACCCCGGGTGCGCGACGCTGGGGCGAGGTGCGCTACGCGTGTCAGGCGCGCGAGGCGTCCCTGGGGCCCAAGCGTGCCAGACATGCCAGGTGCTCCTGATGCGCCACATGCTCCACGTGCCCCACGTGTGCCGCATGCTCCAGCCGCGCCAGGTGCGCCACGCTAATGTCACGCGCAGAGTGTGCCAGGTGCGCCCGCGCACATAGGGAAACATGTCGGTCCCCACGACTGCGTACAGCAGGCAGACAGCATGCCAGCAGGTCCGCCATCCCTGTCAGGAACCCATGCAACGAGATCGCGCGGTGCCCACGGATGATCCAGAGTTAGCCGCGACGTGCAGTTCGTATTGTTTGTTAACGGGTGCTGTCCCTGCGCGCGCCAGTCCATACGTTGACGCCCCCGCCGTCCCTTGCAATCAGCAATGGGGAGTGCCCGCGTCCCCCGAACACGACCAACGATTTTGCCACAAAGTGCGTTTTGCATTTTTCGTAAGGAGCAGTGATCAAGCTACCCCATGCCGCAAGCCGTGTTGCTCACTCAAACACGCTCTACCGACACATAGGTAGCATCCGAGCTTGAGGCCCCGATCCCACTGAGCTCAGAGTCCCGTCGGAGGCACGGGGTAGACAATCTTAGGGCATCCCCGCTGCCCCTGGCAATTGCCAATGCAGAATGATGGCGGGGCGCCCGCACGTGATGCAGATGTTGCAGCAAGGTGCAGTTTGTTCCCAGCATCGTTCTTGCCTTTAGGGGTTCCCCCTTGGTCTAGCGGGAACTGGCCATGGTGTCGGTGCTGCGGGCTTGTTGTCGCCGTCGCCGCCCTTCGCCGCCGTCCGTCGCCGCCGCTTCCGTGCACGGGTGTCGCTCGCCGCGCTTTGGCTTCGCCGCCGACGCCCGTCGCCGCCTCGTCGCCACCTGTCGCCGCCCGTCGCCGCCGCCCCGTGGCCCCCTCCCGCCCCTTTGCATTGCAATCGATTGCCATCGATTGCATCACATAGTTGCACCCCGTAACTTGCACTACATAGGTTACGCCACATGTATTGCACCACATAACGTACGCCACGCAGCTTGATTCGCAGATTACATAGTTTACCACCCTTTTCACTACATAGCTTGCACCACGTAGTTCACACCACACATACTGCAAAGCATAGCTTACACCACGTATATGGCTTCACATAGGCTGCACCACACAACCTACACTACATACATTGCACCACGTATGTTGCGCCATTGAGATTGTACCGCATTGCCTACACCACATTGGTAGCTTCACATAGATCGCACCACATATCTTACGCCACATGGATCGCACTACAAATATTGCACTACACAGAGTGCGCCACATAGCTCACACCATATTTACATGTCTGTTTAATCACCACAAAGACTGCACTACATAGCTTGCACTACATCGATTGCACCACACATGGTGCACCACACATGGTGCACCATATCTTATGCTATAACCCGGCTCGCATATACGTTTCTGCAGGAAATCGTGAGCCTGCGCAGACCCGCCAGTGTGAGGCCCCCCCCCGCCGCCCCTTCCGTCAAAGACTATGGAAACAATGATCGCGGGGCGCCCGTGCATGAACCAGCTTTTGTGACACAGTGCGCTACGCATTGCGTGTCGACAGGGAGGGTGGGTCTGCGCAGAGCGGACGTTTTGAGGGCACCGCCGCCGTCCCTGCCAAAACCAAATGCAAAGTGCTCGCTGGGCGCCCGCGCACGGTCGAGGTGTTGCTGCACACGGTGTGTGTACCTTGTACGGGGTTTTGGCATGAATGGCAGGCTTGCAGAGAGCGGGCAGTATGAGGGCACCCCCGCCGTCCCATATATATATATATATATATATATATATTTATATGTATATATGTTTATTTGTATATATATATATGTATATATATATGTATATATATATATATATATATGCATGCAAATTGACCGCGGGGCGTCCGCGCATGATCCAGCTTTTGGTGCAAGGTGCACTTTGTATTGTTTCATGCAACGGGTGGTGGGCGGGCCCTTGTTGGCCTGGGTTGGGGGGTTTTGGAAGGGGGAAGACTGCAACTCGTTGTGCTAGCTGCGGCCAGAGGGCTGGTGGGCTTTACTCTGGTCCTCTTCCTCTTTCTCCTCCCCCTTCTTGTCCTCCTCCCCCTCCTCATCCTCCCTCCTCCTTTTATTTCCGCCCTCCTCTTCCCCATCCTCCTCCTCCTGCTGCTGCTGCTCCTCCTCCTCCTCCTCCGCGGGCAAAACAAAAGTCCCCCTCATCCCCCTCCTCCGCGGCCGCCTGGTCGTCGGCGGCCCAAGGGCCTGGCGACTCGGCGTCCCGCCGACCGGGACCCGGAGACCCGGCGCCCTGGTGACCAGGCGATCCGGCGACCAGGAGATCTGGGGACCAGGCGACCAGGCGATTCCAGGCCGCCCCCCTCCTTGTCCAGCCCCCCTCCCTCCCCCCCCTCCTCCTCCTCCTCCCTCCTCTCCTCCTCCTTCCTCCTCCTCCTCCTCCTCCTCCTCCTCCTCCTCCCCCTCCTCCTGCTGTGGGGGTGACGGGGACCGTGGCGGGATCGAAGTGGAGGGCTCGGCGAGGGCCTCCGAGGTGGGCCGGCCAACTCGGACTTGGACTGCCTGCGCGGCGGCGGCGACAGGCCCAAGAAGAAGAGGAGGCTGCCCCGCCCGTCCGTCCGGCGCTCGGGGGCGCGTTTTTCGAGGGTCCCAGTGCAGGCTTAAGTCGGGCACGTCCCTCGACAGGAGGAATATTCAAAGATAGTCAAAATATAGTCTGGGGACGATTTTTTGACTATCTTAATTTTTTTGTCCACAATCCCCCTGTAGGAGGACAGGCCCGACTTAAGTGCAGGTCCCCCAGATTGGGTCCAAGTCGATGGGGTCGGAGGACTGCAATGCGTCGCCGATGCGTCGGCGATGCGACTCGGTGTCGAGCCCGATCAGCCAGGACTTTGCAAATCGGGACTATGCCAGGTCCGATCGAAGATCAGAAAACGGTATAAGCATAAGCTTTCAGATCCGCATGGGATCCTCGGATCGCCGGTGGACCCCCCTTCTTTCGCGTGCGGAGCGTGCCAGGGGCGGCGCCCGAGGGGTCGTCAGGGGTCCAGCGCCGATCAAAGATATCCGCGCGGGGCTCCGAAAGTGGATGTTTATGCAGTTTTCTTTTCGGGGGCGGCCAACAGGTGGATGATGACTGGGGGGGGATATCATGGCGATGGTGCCATGGTATTGCCCCGAATCTCATGGCGCCTCGTCTTGTCTCAACACGTCCCCTGGCCCCTCCCCCCTTGCCCGCGCAGATGCCTCGGCTCATGATTTGCGCGCCCCCCTCTTGGATGCCCCCCTCTTGGACGTCCCCGAAAGTCGATGCTCATGCAGTTTTCTGTATAAGGCTCTACAGTCAGACCGCATAACTAGTAAGGATGATCGACTTTCCAAGGTTGCCCTCTGCACCCTTCCCCTTCGGCCCATCCTTGGCCGCTTTCGCTGGCCGCGCGCGCCTTGCCTGCAAAGTGTCGACATGGCCTTTCAAGGCCCTCGCATCCTCATCGTGCGTCCTTGTTAAGCGGGTCGGGGGTGGACAGAAACCCCCACCCTGACACGTCGATCAGTGAATCGTCCGTTTCCGGTCCTCGAGCGCGCGCCGCGGCCGTCATTTTCCAGGCTTCCGCCCGCCAGGTTTGGGCCAGAGGCCGTTTTCCCTGGGAGCCACGCTTCGCTGAAAGGGGGTTCTGCCCATCCCCGAGGTGAAGAAAAGCAGGGCCTGAGGTCGTTTTCCCTAAGCCACGCTTCACTGAAAGGGGGTTCTGTCCATCCCCGACGTGGAGAAAAGCAGGGCTCGTTTCGATTCCTCCGAGTCCGTTCGGTTTTACTAAAAAGGGGGTTCTGTCCGTCCCCGAACGGGTTGGCTTTGGGTATCTCGTGCAGGTGTCGGCCCACGGCTGCAGTTTATCTGCTTCGGGCGTGCCCGGTTTTTTGTGTGTTTTGTTTTGTTTTTTTTCTTCTTCTTCCCCCCCCATCTTCCCCCCCCCTCATAGGAAGTTCCCCCTTCTGCGGGGCCCTGGTCCTCTCGCCTTCTCGGCCGCACGCGGGGGGGCTCCTCAGGATGACGAGGAGAAGCTGGAGGAGAAGAGGCAGGAGGTGCTAACGAGTAAAGGCGAAGGCGAGGAGGAGCAGGAGGAGGAGGAGGAGGATCAGTGTAAACCCGAGACTGACCAACGATATTGCAATACACTCTCCCTCTCGGTCCCTCTTAAGAGGCCCCATACACGAATCCGTGTTCACAAGTGCCCTGTCGGAAAGCCATCGTTTGAACATCCTGAGCTGTGCCAAACACAGTTCCTGGGACTTTAACTCAGCGAATCACAGCTACTGTTACGTCATGACGATCCAGAATCGTGCCAGGACACCTTTCTGGGACTTCAACACCACGAGTTAACGTAACTGTTGCGCCCTAACAGTCCGACATCGTGCCAGACACCATCTCTGCGACGTTAGCCGTGATAATCTTTGAAGCTGTTATAAGCTTTTACAGCGAAAATGTGCGGCGCTAAGGCTAGAGCCACATTTTGAATAGGAGCCGCCCTCCATCCGAGAAGCACTTAAACATTTTGAAAACGAATGTGCGCTGCGCTAAGGCAAGAGGCACATGTTGAAAACCACCCGCCCTCCATCCGTGAAGTTCATGTAACTTCGAAATCGGATGTGCGCGGCGTTAAGACGAAAGCCGCATTTTCAAAACCACCAGCCCTGCATCCGCGAAAGCTCATGTATTTTCGGAAAAAACCGGATGTGCGCGTCGCTCAGGCGAAAGCCACATTTTGAAAACCACCCGCCCTCCATGCGTGAAGCTCATGCAAATTCGAAGTTTCAAAATCATGCGTAGTGGGGAAGTCTCAGGCGAAACGCCCCGCCCGCTCTTTCGACCAGCCTCGGGGTGAAATAGGAAGGAGTTACTCGCCTCGTCGTTCCTGCTCGTGCGATCTTGAACCGACTCTGCCCTCTTCTCGTCTCTCCTGCTCGTGGCACCCCGCCTCGTCTCTTCTTGGGTGATCTGGTCTCCCCCCTCCCAGACAACAGGGGACCGACGACGACGACGACGACAACGACGACGACGACGACGACGACGAGCATGAGCATTTGCTGATCTGCTCCTCCCGCCTTTTCCTACCCCCCGGCAACCGCGCGAGGGCGAGAGGGCGCGAAGACGACCGCGAATCGCCCATCGCTGGGGGCGGTGCGCGAAGTCAAGCGACCTAGCTGTCTGCTGCCGTTCCGGCCGAAGAGCGCTGGGAGAGCGCCGTCCATACTTCCGAGCCTCCGCGGCAGCAGGCAGTGCCCAAACGGATCAGCCTCGGGCTGCTTGCTGTGAAAATCGCAGATGCAGATTTGTGCATCGCTATCCTCTTCCTCTTCCTCCTCCTCTGCCTCCTCCTTCTCCTCCTCCTCCTCCTCCTCCTCCTCCTCCTCCTCCTCCTCCTCCTCCTCCCCCTCCCCCCCTTTCGCCGTGCCGGCCGCCCGCCTCGCCCCGCAGGGCGGCGGCGCCGAAGGCCGTGGGGGCGGGGCCCCTGGCCGGGCGGCGCGGGGGAGGAGGGCGGGGCTCAAGGAGGAGGAGGAGGAGGAGGAGGAGGAGGAGGAGGAGGAGGAGGAGGAGGAGGAGGAGGAGGAGGAGGGGGAGACGGAGGGGGAGGAGGGAGGAGGAAGAATATGAAGAGGAGGAGGAGGAGGAGGAGGAGGAGGAGGAGGAGGAGGAGGAGGAGGAGGAGGAGGAGGAGGATGAGGTGTGTCTTGGACTCGGCTTCCTTGTTCGGGGGCGCAAGCCCTGAGCCCACCAAAACGAGCCACTCCCAGCGGGCAGCGCGGGGCCTCGCCCCTCGTGGGCGCGCCGCTGTCCCGCCCGCAACCCGCGGCCGCCGGAGCTGGGCCGCGCCGATGGGGGCGCGCCGCCCCCGGAGAGCCTGCGGCTCTTAGCGCCCCGGTCCTCGGCGGGCTCGTGTCGTGCCGGCCCCGTGGCGAGGCCACCGCGGGCGTTCGAGGCGGGAGCTCGGAGCCGCTCCAAGTCGGCACACGCCTCACGCGTCTCGTGGCCCCGCAGCGAGCTCCACCGAAGGTCACAGTGGCAGCGTCCGCACGGTCACGCGGGTCCACGCCTGCACACCCCTCGCACGTTTCGTGGCCCCGCAGGGAGCCCTGGGAGGGGTCTGGGGACTGGTTCTGAGCGCCTTTGGCTTCTTCCCTTCCCCCCCCCCCTGGCTGATGTTCTCGGGCCCCAGCCGGTTCAGACCCCCTGGCCGCCTCCAAGTTGGAGGCCGCCACTGCTCCGGAATCGGCCCGAGACTGGGCGTTCTGCACAGTCGGACGGCCGCGATCGCTCAAGACTCCCGAGGCTTCGCGCGGGGCCGGGAGCCAGCGCGGCATTCGTCACGGCACGGACCTGTCGTGCCTGGTCTGGCCCGGGAGAGGTTCGGGGGTGGACAGAACCCCCAACAGTGACACGTCGATTAGTGAATTGTCCGTTTTCGGCTCTCGAGAGGGCACCGTGGTCGTTATCTTCCAGGCTTGCGCCCGCCAGGGTCGGGCCTCAGGTCGTTTTCACTACACCACGTTTTGCTACAGGGGGGTCTGTCCATCCCCGAGAGGTGGGCGTGGGCAGAGCGTGCCAGCGGATGCCCCCCCTGTCGCGGCGAGGCTCTCCGTGCCGTGGGGGTCTCTTCTCCGGAGGAGCCGGCGCGCGCGCGCGCGCACTGCCGTGCTCTCCGCGCCGCAGGTGGCCCGCCGGCGGCGCGGCTGTCGTCGGCCCTTCGAGCGCGGGCCTAGCTTTGAGCGCGGCCCTTCGAGCGCGGCCCTTCGAGCGCGGCTGTCGTCGGCCCTTCGAGCGCGGCCCTTCGAGCGCGGGCCTTTAGAGCGCGGGCCTAGCTTTGAGGCGTATGCTACTTTGCGTGGCAGGGCCCAAGCGTCTAGGAGCGTAGGGGAACAACAAGTGGCATAGACATGCAAAAACTGGGAGGTCCGCGCGGATTTCTCGGATCGGCGCTGGGGCCCCCCAGCGGCGCCTCCGGCGCCGCCCCTGGCGCGCTCCGTGCGCCAGGGAGGGGGGTCCAGCGCCGATCCGAGGAATCAGCGCGAACCTCAGAGTTTTTGTGTTTATGCCACTTTTTGTTCCCCTAATGACAGGGCCCAAGCGTTTAGGAACTGGCCCTCATCGAGTAGGAGCTCCCGCCAGCGACGAGGAGCCTCAGAGGGGCGCTGCTCCGCGCCCGGTGGCGCTCAGCGGGGGCGCCGAGCCCCTCGACTGGCTGCGCGCACGGGGCTCGGGGCGCGCTGCTGCGGGGCGCCGGCCAGCTGGAGGGTCGAAGCGGGCGCTCCACCAGCACCCGACCTCGTGCTTGGCTGCCCCGCTGGTGTCGGAGGTTGATAGACCTCCTACCCTGACGCATCGAGTAGCGAATTGGCCGTTTTCGGTTCGCGAGAGGGCGTCGCGGCCGTGCTTTTTGCGGGTCCGGGTCCGTCGGTTTTGGTCCCAGGCCGTTTCCACTGAGGGGAGGGTTACTAAAGGGAGGCTTGTCCACCGCCGATGGTGGGCCCGTGATGGAGTATTGGAGGCGGACGCGGAGGCCTGCTGCCCACCAGGAAGCCGGGTGTGCACGACGTGGCCAGCCTGGGCGAGGGCTGGGTAGACATGTTGTTGGCCTTTTTGTGCCAGCGCGCGGCCTCCGCACGGCCAGGCAAGCCGGCCCTCCGCGTGCGTCTCGGGCAAGTGGCCTCCGCGTGTCCCACACGCGTGCTCCGGCCGTGTGTGCTTCCAGCTTCCCGGCGTGATCTCTCGTGCCCTGGTCCTTTGGTGGGCCCGTGGCGAAACCGAGCGTGCTTTCCGTGCCCGTGGCCCACTCCCTCTCGTGGTGCCATCCCTGGGACGTGGGGCGTCACGAGGTGCGGGCTCGGGTGCGCGTGGCCCGCGGCTCGCCGCACCTCGCCGGGCGACTCGTGGCTTCTGCCGGGCCGCGCGGCGGCGGAGATCGAAGCAGGCGGAGGCGAGCGCGCAGGCGGGAGGCCGGGGCTGGCGGGCCGAGGCAGGCGGGGCGGGCAGGCGGGCGGGCTTTGGAAAGGACGGGGCACACGGCAAGCAGAAGGCAGGAGCACCAGCTTAGCTCTTTGGTCAGTGGACGGGGCTTCGCGTGCGGCGCGCACTCGGGTGCCGGTGGCCGTGGCTCCCGTGCCCGGCGCTGCCCGTGTGGCCCCTCGGTGGAGCGTCAGGAGTGGAGCCCGTCGCCCACGTCGGGTGGTCTCTCGTGCCCAGTGGCCTGCCTCGTGGCCCGCTTTGGGGTCTCCGCTTGGCCCCCTGGTTCCCCTGATGTCTGCCTGGTGCCAGTGTCTTGTGGTGGTTTGTCGAGCCTCGTGGCTCACTCGTGGACTTCTCGTGGCGTCCCGTGGCCCTCGCATGTGTTGTCGAGATTTGGTAAGGTAAGGGTGCCCTGGGATTCTGGTTTTTGTGCCATGCGTATCTTTCCTCTGACAACAACGTTGTTTCCTGAGCGCTTGTCAGCAGTGCGTGCCTGAGTATATACTCTTGCGGCCCATGCGTTCAGTTGACCAGCACAACTCGTGCTTGTGAGGTGTGTAGACGAAGTGTCACTGAGGTGGTCCCACCATATCACAGGGCTGGTCAAGCATGGGATGTGGCTGTTCCATCATGTCCGTCCGCTGAAGGTGAGGCCTAATGCTCAGCACCCAACGGTTCTTGCTCGAACATGCGCGGTGTACACTACATTGGCGGAGAATTTCGGTCAAGCTGTTTTCTTCAGTTGGCGTGCTGGCCCTGTCAGGCTACGGTGGAATCCAACGCTACAACTACAATCACAGATGCGATGGTTGCACAGGCCTTGTTCTTTTTTTCTGTTGTGGCCAATGTATCACGGAAGTATATGTGCAGCTGTTGCATTTCTGCAGTGTTGTTGTGAGGGGTATATCAGCAACGGTACACATCTTTACCTCAAGCAGTGCTGGAATTAGGGATGCCCCTTTCTTTCTTCTTCGTATTAGTTTTTTATTATATAGTTTTTTGGTTTTCTCAATCCTCTCTCTTTCTCTTCCAGTCTGACTGTCTATCTGTCTCTCTCTGTCTGTCTTTGTTTTTTATATAGTTTTTCTTCTTGTTCCCCCCCCCTCTCTCACACACGCACTCGAGAGAGAGAGAGAGAGAGATGTCGAGATATCGAGAGAGATAACTATGATACATATAGAGAGAGAGAGAGAGAGAGAGAGAGAGAGAGAGAAAGTGAGCATGTTTTGCGCTGCTTGTGGTTGCTGGGTTTCGCTGCCATCCTTTTGTGGGAAGTTGAAGCCCGCACGGCCTCTGCGGTGCTGCAGGAGATCTGGGTGTCTCGATGACACGGCAGCAGCCTGAGTGGTTCGGATAGTTTTTGTTTGCTGGGCGGGCATCGCATGTAGTAAGCTGGTCCTGGGCGCAGAGCCCCCCCCAATCCAACTGTTCAGGGTATTCGAAGCTGGTTAGTGCACAAAACCTGTAGTACCATTGTCTCTTCCCAGCCTGGGTGTGAACATATGTTCTGTCCCCGCAGTCGCCAAACGTACGTCGTTTCATGATTCTTGGTCCTCCTTGTTTTTTTCCCCTGCGATGTCTGCCGACGTATACGAAAGAGGAGTGCGGCTTTGTGTCTGCGAAGCTGACGTCGAGGGGTTGAAACGCCCGTATGAAGGGGGGATCGGATGATCACGTTCAGGGCTAATGTAGCGAGCTAGGGCTTGCAATGTTTCGAACATATGGTTTGCCTTTCGAAAGCAGCAGGGCCATGCTCCCAGGCTTGTTTTTGTTTTCTCTTCAGGCAGCCCGATTGCATGAAGGTTGCACGTCTCTTCGTCGCCAATGCTCTGCCTCGTTTGGGTCGGATGATTCGGCCGTTCCTGCCTGCCCTTACCCGCCTTTCGTCTTCGAGCACCAACATCAGATATTCTTGACTGTTTTGACAACCGTGCGTGCGCGGTGGATCAGCGTTTGTCTCGAGTACGATCCCGTTGTCGTCTTTCCAGTCAGCTGCCAATGGCGGCGCATGGCGGGCACGGCCGTGTGGTGCCTCCTCCTGGCAAGAAGGCGAAGGCACAGCCATCGAAGCTTCCCGTGGCCATACTCACGGGGTATCTTGGTGCTGGAAAGACAACGCTCCTCAACTACGTGCTCCATGAGCAGAGGGACAAGAAGCTTGCCGTGATCGAGAACGAGATCGGTGAAGTCAGCATCGACGATGCGCTAGTGGAGCAAAAGCATGACGACCTTGCCGAGGAGCTCGTGTTGTTAGACAACGGATGTATATGCTGTACAATTCGTGGTGACCTTCAGAAGACTCTGAAGGACCTTGCGGCGAAGGTGCAGAGAGGCCAGAAGCTGGATGGCGTCCTGATCGAGCTGACTGGCGCAGCGGACCCAGCTCCTGTGGTACAGACGTTCATGGTCGACGAGGATCCATGACCTAAGTTCGTCCCCACCCTTTCCACTCCCCACGCCCAAACCCTCCCAATAGGGATGATCCTGACTCCTTCCGATCGATCACTTCAAGGTCGACTATGTCGGACTGGTCGATTGGACTGCTCTCGTCGCGTTCCGCCTCGCCCCTCCTTACGAGAGTGCTTTTCGAGTGCCAGTCTGCTCCTCATTGTTCTCATTTCGCGCCTCTGTGTCGATCTCGACTGCGCCAGTTTGGCTCAATGAGTGTTCGCTTCTCCCTGGATCATGTGAAGTAGCGATGTTCGATGGCGCTCGGCGAGTGGGACACAGTGAGGGTGGGTCAAATTCTCGGGGCCGCCTACGATCCTATTCGATGCGATCCGGTTCGCTGGCGTAGGCCACGATTCTGATTCGATGCGACTCGGTTCGCTTCGACTCACCAGCCTCGGCTGGGGCCAGCCGGAGCCCAGCGCGGCGACCCGACATCGATTCGACTCGAAACGATTCGCTTGTGATCTGATTCGGCGCGATCGGACTGTTCGGCGCCGCCTTGGCGCGGCGCCAGCGTTCAACCGACAGTTTTTGCGGCGGCAGCCGCGTTGCCAGGGGGTCCGCAGGGGTCGTTCGGGCGTCCGCGCCAGGGCGCCCAGCTCCGCAAAGGAAAACGTTTTGGCACGCAAACGCCGAGGAGGAGGAGGGAGGGAGGGAGGGAGGGAGGGAGGGAGGGAGGGAGGGAGGGAGGTTAGGGGAGGAGGGGGAGGTAGGAGGGGAGGGAAGGAGGGAGGAGGAGGGAGGAGGAGGAGGGAGGGAAGGGAGGAGGGGAGGAGGGAGGAGAGAGGAGGGAGGCGGAGGACGGGAGGAGGGAGGAGGGAGGAGGGAGGAGGGAGGAGGGCGGAGCGGGTAGGAGGGAGGAGGGAGGGAGGGAGAGGGAGGAGGGAGAGGAGGGAGGAGGGAGGAGGGAGGCGGAGAGGAGGGAGGAGGTGAAGGAGGGAGGAGGAGGAGGGAGGAGGGAGGAGGGAGGCAGGGAGGAGGAGAGGACGGGAGGATGGGGAGGAGGGGGCGGGAGGAGGGCGGAGGGAGTGAGGGGGAGGAGGAGGGAGGAAGGGAGGAAGGGAGGAGGGAGGAGGGAGGAGTGAGGAGGGGAGGAGGGTTTCGCAGGAGGGAGGAGGGAGGCGGGAGGAGGGAGTGAGGGGGAGAAGGAGGGGGAGGGAGGAGGGAGGAGGGAGGAGGGAGGAGGAGGAGGGAGGAGGGAGAGGAGGAGGGAGGGAGGATGGGAGAGGAGGAGGGAGGATGGGACGGACGGAGGAGGGAGGGAGGGAGGAGGGAAGGAGGGAGGAGGGAGGAGGGAGGAGGGAGGAGGGAGGAGGGAGGAGGGAGGACGGGAGGAGGGAGGAGGAGAGGGAGGAGGAGGGTGCGGGAGGGAGGGGATGGGAGGGAGGGAGGGGGAAGGGAGAGGGAGGGAGGGCAGGGAGGGGAGGAGAGGAGGAGGAGGAGGAGGAGGAGGAGGAGGAGGACGGGAAGGAGGGGAGAGGAGGAGGAGGAGGAGGAGGGGAGGAGGAGGAGGTGGAGGAGGAGGAGGAGGAGGAGGAGGAGGAGGAGGAGGAGGAGGAGGAGGAGGAGGAGGAGGAGGAAGACCGATATTCTTGTCGGGCCCTGCGGCGCGCCGGCGGTGCCCTCGGTGCCCTTAGGGCCCGCTGGCGCGCCCGAAGGCATTTCCGAGGTGCCCTCGGCGCGCCTCTGGGCCTCTGGGGGCCAGGGCAGGCCCGCCCGGAGGACCTCCCCAGGCGCCCTCAGGCGGCTCTCCGGGGGCCCTCCGGGGGGGAGGCCGCCAGAGCCTTCCCGGCTCGGCTCGATGGGCGCTCGGCAGGCGGGTCAGAGGCGACGAGAGGGTTCAGCGGAGGTGGAGAGGCCGCCAGCGGCCCCGCGGCGGAGGAGCGGCGCCAGGGCCCCGAGGGCCCCGCGAGCTGATTCTCAAACCCCCCCTTGCTATCCCTCCCTTTCGCCCGGCCCGCCTGGCCGCCGCAAGGCGCCCGCGGGCCCAGCCGCAGAGGCCGCCAGCGGCCCCGCGGCGGAGGAGCGGCGCCGGGGCCCCGAGGGCCCCTCGAATATTCAAAAATAGTTTAAAAAATACCCCGGCAAAGCAACCTAACAGCGATGTGTATAAGCATATCTGGAAGCATTCCCCTTACGATTCAGATGAGAACCCAGTTGTAGAATTCTGCTGTTCTCGCAGTCGCAGTCGCATTCGCAATGACAGTCGCAGTGGCAACGGCCTTAGGATCCAATGGAATCCTAAGGATTCCTAAGGATTCTTGAGGATGCTTAACTATGCCTACGGATTCCTAAGGATGCCTACGGATGCCTCAACCTGCCTCAGTTTCAGCCTCAGCCTCAGCCTGCCTCGGCTTGCCTCAGCCTCAGCCTCAGCCTGCCTCGGCCTCAGCCTCAGCCTGCCTCAGCCTCAGCCTCAGCCTCAGCCTCAGCCTGCCTCGGCCTCAGCCTGCGTCAGCCTCAGCCTCAGCCTGCCTCAGCCTCAGTCTGCTTCGGCTTGCCTCAGCCTCAGCCTCAGCCTGCCTCGGCCTCAGCCTGCCTCGGCCTCAGCCTGCCTCAGCCTCCCCTCCTCCCCCCCCCTCCCTTCCCCCCCCCCCCATTCAGCCTCACCTTGTCTCAGCTTCGGCCTGCCTCGGCCTGCATCCCAGCCTTCAGCCTCAGTCTCAGCCTCAGCCTGCCTCAGCCTCAGCCTGCATCAGCCTCAGCCTCAGCCTGCCTCAGCATCAGCCTGCCTCAGCCTCAGCCTCAGCCTGCCTCAGCCTCAGCCAGCCTGCCTCGGCGTGCCTCGGCCTCAGCCTCAGCCTGCCTCGGCCTCAGCCTCAGCCTCAGCCTGCCTCAGCCTCAGCCTCAGCCTGCCTCAGCCTCAGCCTCAGCCTGCTTCAGCCTCAGCCTCAGACTGCCTTCAGCCTCGGCCTCAGCCTCCGCCTGCCTCAGCCTCAGCCTGCATGAGCCTCAGCCTCAGCCTCAGCCTGCCTCAGCCTCAGCCTGCCTCAGCCTCAGCCTCAGCCTGCCTCGGCGTGCCTCAGCCTCAGCCTCAGCCTGCCTCGGCCACAGCCTGCCTCAGCTCGGGCATTCAAAATATGGCACAGGACTGGTGTTCTGGGAACACGAAGATCACGAAGTGGCCCACAGTTGGCTCCGGGCAATCAAAATATGGTGCAGGAATGGTGTTCTGGGAACACGAAGAACACGAAGTGGCCTACAGTTGGCTCCGGGCATTCAAAATGTGGCCTGGGAATGGTGTTCTGGGAACACGAAGAACACGAAGTGGCCTACAGTTGGCTCCGGGCACTCAAAATGTGGCCTGGGAATGGTGTTCCGGGAACACGAAGAGCACGAAGTGGCCTATAGTTGGCTCCGGGCGTTCAAAATGTGGCCTAGGAATGGTGTTCTGAGAATGGACTCCTAAGGATTCCTAAGAATTCCTAAGGATTCCTAAGGATTCCTGGGGCTGTCCGGATCTGTCCGGATCTGTCCGGATCCCGCCCAGACCCCCTGGGGCGTCAAGATGCTCTCTGTTGAGCCCACTAGAAACCTATTAGCAAAAGCTATTAGGTAAAAACAAAAACAAGCAAAAACTAAAACAAAAACAACACAAAAAACACAACGAAAACACAAACCATGACAACATCAACAACAACAACCACAACCACAACCACAACCACAACCACAACAGCAGCAGCAACAACAACAGCAGCAACAACAACACCAGCAGCAGCAGCATATGCAGCAGCAACACAACAACAACAACAACAACAACAACAACAAGAAGAAGAAGAAGTCGAAGAAGAACGACTGCAGCAACACAACAACAACAACAACAACAACAACAACAACAACAACATCAGCAGCAGCAGCAACAGCAACAACAACAACAGCAGCAGCCGCAGCAACAACAACAACAGCAGCAGCAGCAATAACAACAACAACCACGACAACAGCAACAACAACAACAACAACAGCAACAACAACAACAATCACTTTACCCGAACGCTCAGTGTTCTCACCAGTGCCAGGGTTTTCATGCGACGCCAGCCAATACCCCCACTTTGTGGGGGGGCAAGGCAAGCTCTACCAAATATCCACACGACTCTTCGCCACCACCCACACCCAGCTTCCCGCCCTATGACGTTCGGACACTTCACTTCGTGGCCTGCGGACGACCGTGGCTACTACACTGGCGTGGAGTACACACCCTCAGAAGTTGTTAAGCCTACGTTCGTACACCCACAGAAGTTGTTAAGCCTTGTTAACCCACAGAAGTTGTTAAGCCTTCCACAGAACATCTGTTGCATATGATGCATATGGTACATGATACACATGATACACATGATACGTACTCACAAGATAGTTGATCACATCTTTAGGGCAAATTTTGAAAAGTCGTGCAGGTGTTTTTCGAGGACCTACGGTGCGATTCGTGTGATTTTATGATGCGCGGTGCTAAAATTCTTAAGAAGCCCAATGGTTTTTGGAGATTTCGGCGTGCGCGCGCGAAGAAAAAACGAATGTGTCCCGCATGGTATTATTTGACAGGGATGATGGCCCTGCAGGTGCGCAACCGTTGTCGCAGAAGTTCGAAAAAGTTGCTCGCAAAAAAAAAAAAA